AGGAGAGGGAGAGGGGAGAGGGAGAAGTGAGGAGAATGAGGGGTGAGGAGAAAGGAAGGAAGTGAGAGAGAAGAGGGGAGGAGAGGGAGTGGGAGAAGAGAGGGGAGGAGAGAGGAAGAGGTGAAGCAAGGAAGAGGAGAGGACAGGAGAGGGAGAGGGAGAAGTGAGGTGGGAGAAATGAGGAGAGGAGACACAAAGGAAGGGAGAGAGGAGAGGGAGCCATGAGGAGAATGAGGGGGGAGGAGAGGAGAAAGGAAGGAAGTGGGAGAGAAGAGGTGAGGAGAGGGAGAGGAGAGGAAGAACAGAGGAGAGGAGAGGAAGAGGTGAAGCAAGGGAGAGGAGAAGAGAGGAGAGGGAGAGGAAGAAGTGAGGAGGGAGAGGTGAGGAAAGGAGAGAAAGGAAGGGAGAGAGGAGAGGAGAAGGAGGAGAAGGTGGGGTGAGGAAAGGAGAAAGGAAGGAAGTGAGAGAGAAGAGGTGAGTAGAGGGAGAGGAGAGGAAGAACAGAGGAGAGGAGAGGAAGAGGTGAAGCAAGGGAGAGGAGAAGAGAGGAGAGGGAGAAGTGAGGAGGGAGAGGTGAGGAAAGGAGAGAAAGGAAGGGAGAGAGGAGAGGAGAAGGAGGAGAAGGTGGGGTGAGGAGAGGAGAAAGGAAGGAAGTGGGAGAGAAGAGGTGAAGACAGGGAGAGGGGAGGAAGAAGAGAGGAGAGAGATAGGAAGAGGAGAGGAGGAGAGAAGAGGAAAAAATCAGGGAAGGGAGAGGAGGGGAGAGGAGAAGAAGAAGTGAGGAGAGGGAGAGGTGAGGAGAGAAAGGAATGGAGAGGGAGAGGAGAGGAGGAAGAGAGGAAAGGGAGAGGAGAGGAGGTGAGGAGACAGAAAGGAAGGGAGGGGGAGGAAAGGGGAGGAGAGGGAGAAGTGAGGAGAATGAGGGGTGAGGAGAGGAGAAAGGAAGGAAGGGGGAGAGAAGAGGTGTGGAGAGGGAGAGGGGGAGGAGAGGAGGGAGAGGGGAGAGAGAAAGGAAGGGGGAGAGGAGAAGAGGAAAAAATGAGGGAAGGGAGAGGAGGGGAACGGAGAAGAAGAAATGAGGAGAGTGAGGTGAGGAGAGAGAAAGGAAGGAGGGAGAGAAGTGGAAAATGTGAGGGAAGGGAGAGGAAAAAGTGAGGAGAGGGAGAAGTGAAGAGGAGAGAGAAAGGAAGGGGGAGGGAGAGGACAGGAGAGGAGAGGGAGAAGTGGGGAGAATGCGGGTGAGGAAAGTAGAAAGAAAGGAAGGGGAAGAGGAGAGGTGAGGAGAGGGAGAGGAGAGGAAGAAGTGAGGAGAGGAAGAAGAGAGGAGAGGAGAGAGAAAGGAAGGGGGAGAGGAGGAGAGAAGAGGAAAAAGTCAGGGAAGGGAGAGGAGGGGAGAGGAGAGAAGAAGAAGTGAGGAGAGTGAGGTGAGGAGAGAGAAAGGAAAGAGGGAGAGAAGAGGAAAAGGGGAGGGGAGGAAGAGGAAGGAGAGGGAGAGGTGAGGAGAGGGGAGAGAAAGGAAGGGGAGGAGGGAAGAGGAAAAAGTGAGAGGAGGGGAGGGCAGGAAAGGAGAGGGAGAAGTGAGGAGAGGGACAGGAGAGAAGAGAAGGGGAGAGAAGAGAGGAACAAGTGAGGAGAGGGATAGGTGAGGTGAGGAGAGGAAAGGAAAGGAAGAGGTGAGGAGAGGGAGAAGGAGGCATTTTTAGGTGGCAAAGAAGCCCGTTTGCCAAAGTAAAGATGTTTTCTCTCTCAAATTGACGGCGAGGATCTTCAGCTCCTCACACGCTTGGAGTAGGTGAGTTTTTAGGAAACAAGGCTTCCTGCCTGGGAAGGAAGGAAGGAGGGAGGGAGGGAGGGAGGGAAGGAAGGAGGGAGGGAGCGAAAGAAGGAGGGAGGGAGGGAGGGAAGGAAGGAAGGAAGGAAGTTTTGATGAAGAAACCAAGCCACCCCTCCCTCCTCTTGGCTGGTCAACTCACCCACTGAACTTCTTCCCGGCAAGACTGTCCATTGTAATCGCAAAGGGCGGCATACGTTTCCGAGAAACCCCCTGAGGGCGAGACCCAAAAATACCCCCAAAAGAGTTATATTCCCTCTCAACTGCCTTCCTGGCCAAGCTTGACAGGCTGAAAATCCAACTTACACTTGCAACCTTCTTACAAGAATCCCCCTTTCATTCTTAACCCTGGCATCTAGTTCAGGGGTGTCAAACTCAATTTCATTGAGGGCCGCATCGGGGATGTGTATGACTTCAGGGGGCCAGGGTGGGCATGGCCAGCTCGACATCCTGCAGCCCTCTGCCAGTGAAAATAGAGCGTGCAGCCCTCCTGGGCTCCGTTTTCAGCTGCGACATCCTCTTGCAGCCCTCCTGGCAGGGGTGGGTTTCAACCGGTTCGTGGCGGTCCCTGCGAACCGGTTGGTCACCGAACCCGGAAGTAAGTAACTTCCGGGAACGGTGAAGGGGCCGCCCGCCCGCCCGCGTT